GCACATGTAAATGTATACATAGTATATGACAGAAGATGAAAATAGATAAGTGTGAAAATGATATGGGCATACTGACCTAAGATACACTGTATTTGAATATTTCATAGAAGAAAAAGTAGAAAAGAATTAAAATGTATATTTCAAGTTAGTGTTTGACTCACTAAAATTTTTTTTTTCTGTAAAATTAGTCACAATCCAGTACCTGGGCCTGACTACATTAGGAAATTTCTTAAGGAACAAAAACAACAGTTTAATTTAGCAGCAACAAGCTGAATTTTGACTTTGTGGGAAACAGAGATACATATAAAACCCTTCTGGTGATTTCCTTTCTCACCAGATTTTCCCTGACAGCATTTTTTGCAGCATCAGCAGAGTGGTGAGGGGTCTGGCAGGGTTATGAAGAGCAGGCCTCACGTCTTCCCTTCCCAGGAAAGGATTCCCAGGGGAAGAACTTGTCATAGGAAAACCCGCCGTGTTACTTACCAAGTGGCTTGAGGCTTCTGTAAACTGACCATCCTCAGCGCCTGCCACGTGGAATTCCTTTCCCATGGCAACAGCAGCCTCTGGAGGAGTCAGGACCACTTGCTATTTGAGTTAAGAATTGGCCTGGCTTAATTAGAAGAGGTGTAAATTGAGAGAGGAAGACAAGATCTTAGCACTAAGCATGAATGCATTTCAAAAAGAAACCAGGGTCACCAGTTGAGGAGACAAGATGTTTATCTGAGTCAGAATGCCAATCTCTGAGGTCTCAGCTCTCACCTATGCTCTGCGTCTTTGGCCCCAGCTTCACTCTGAGGTGTTGCTCCCTTTCATGCACCCAAAGCCGCTCTGAACGTTGTTGGGTGATTTAAACCACGAACTGCTTACAGTCAGGGTCTGCGTCGTGCGGATCTGATCCAGCTCTGTACCCTGCCCCCGCCTGCACCGCACACTCTGCGAGACATGCATGCACATGCTTTATACAGTTTACGTGTGATGCACGTACGATGCACATACAGTGAGTAGATGGCATGAGCACGTGGCGGGGGCCAGGCTGCAGTGCCCTGATGGAGTCACCTTGTACCACACTCGCTCCACCTCCTTTCTGATGCCTTACTGGATCCTGTTTCCCTAAACTGGCTCCTTTGAGATGTTCAGAATGCAAACCATCCTTCATTTGAGCCCATCTCCAGCACCTCCTTTTCAGATGTGCTACTTTTTTTCCCCCAAGAACACCATGCATGTGTGCATGCTAAGTCGTTTCAGTTGTGTCTGACTCTTTGTGACCCACGGACTGTAGCCCACCAGGCTCCTCTGTCCATGGGATTCTCCAGGCAAGAATACTGCAGTGGGTTGCCATGTCCTCCTCCAGGGGATCTTCCCCACCCAGGGATCGAACCTGAGTCTCTTATGTCTCCTGCATTGGCAGGTCGGTTCTTTACCACTAGTGCCACCTGGGATGCATCCCCAAGAACACCATAACAAATCTTTATTGCAAAATTGTACTTAAATTAAGTATCACATTTCTTACTGAAATCAACTCTTATTATGAAATTTATAAACCATTTAAATATGAGTTTGAAATCTCTGCATACTGAGTTATACTTATATGTGAAATATATATGAAATGATATTATTTTTCCCAAACATGTTCTTTATCTTTATTTCTGGCATTTAATCCTAGTTTTAAGTGCCTTTTCATTTTAAAATTATTCCATCTTTTTAAGAGAAAATCTGAAAATTCGATATTTTATTTCTCGTTGAAAAATCATTTTCAGGCTGTAACTCAGGGGTGGGGGGAACTCTGAGTGCAGGTCCAGCTTGCTGCCTTCTGTCAAAAAGACCCCAGAACAGAATCCTGTCCCCATATTCTCCTCTGAACTGGCCCCCTGCAGAGGTGAGAGGAATCTTTTGGGGTATCAGATGTGCTCCCAAGGCCTTTGGTATTCTGAGATCATTTGCTTTTCCCGTTCTCTTTAGCAATAACCACCGGTTGTTGACAGATTACTATTTGATCAGTGAATTAGTTTTTTCATTGTTACAGTAACAAATTACCACATGCCTAAGTGCTTAAAGGAACACAGATTTATTATCCTATAGTTTCCTAGGTTGAGAGTCTAAAAGGGGTCTTCTTGGATTGTAATGTAGATACCAGCAGGACTGGGAGGTGGGGTGGCATTTCCTTGCTTATTCAGGTGTTGGCAGAATTCAGCACTATGTAACCATACAGAGACCCGTGGATCAGTTTTCTTACTGGCTGTCACTGGGGGCTGAGTAGGGCCCCAGATCACCACCCCCCAGAGCCCTGCACAGGGTATCCTGCATCTCAAATCCTGCTTCCTTCTCAGCTTTCATCCCTCCTTGTAACCAGGAAACGTTCTTGGCATCTAAAACTCAGTCACTCATGGAATTAGGCTGGGTCCACCCTGATAATCCAGGATAATCTTCCCAACTTCCCAACCCTACTTTGCCACATGAGATAACATATTCAAAGAGACTAGGTCTGGAAATCTTTGGGCCAATATTATTTTGCCTACTACACCTGGGTGTGCTAATGTTTTATATACATCATTTTAGTTATTTCTATTTTATCAGAGAAAATCAAGTCTTAGAGTTGGGTAAATTGGCCACATTATCATGAGATGACACTTGTTCAGTCGCTTAGTCACGTCCAACTCTGTGACTTAATGGACTGTAGCATGCCAGGCTTCCCTGTCCTTCACTATCTCCCAGAGTTTGCTCAAACTCATCTCCATTGAATGGATGATGCCACCCAACCATCTCATCCTCTGTTGCCTCCTTCTCTTCCTGCCCTCAATCTTTCCCATCACTGGGGTCTTTTCCAGTGAGTCAGCTCTTCGCATCAGGTGGCTAAAGAATTGGAGCTTCAGCTTCAGCATCAGTCCTTCCAAGGAATGCTCAGGGTTCCTTTAGGATTGACTGGTTTGATCTCCTTGCAGTCCAAGGAAATCTCAAGAGTCTTCTCCAGTACCAAAGTTCAAAAGCATCAATTCTTTGGCACTAGGCCTTCTTTATGGTTCAACGCTCACATCTGTACATGACGACTGAGATAACAGTGGCATAATTTAAATCCAAGTCTGCCTGATTCTAAAGCAACCTTCCCCATGACTCCAATACCATTCTGCACTGTGTGTATGTACTATATATGTGTGGCACACACACACACACACACACACACACATACACAAAGAAGTTATGAATGTGCTGAAAAGTCAAGTCAAAAGTATTGTGTGTATCATTTCTTCTGGTGATCTTTAAACAAATCTTTTTTTTTTTTTAATATTAGAGGGTGATGCTAGATAGTGGGAATTTGGTATGTTCTGAATTAATCACAAAGCTATAAGAACAGAAAATATTTATTTGCAAATTTATTAGTTTTCCAAGACTTCAGTTCCGAAAGGTTCAATTTCACAGGTTCACTGTGAGGCTGTACCTTGATTGGAAACTCTGAAGAAATTCAGTTCAGTTCAGTTCAGTCACTCAGTCGTGTCCGACTCTTTGCGACCCCATGGATCGCAGCACGCCAGACCTCCCTGTCCATCACCAACTCCCAGAGTTTACTCAGACTCATGCCATTGAGTCGGTGATGCCATCCAGCCATCTCATCCTCTGTCGTCCCCTTCTCCTCCTGCCCTCAATCCCTCCCAGCATCAGGGTCTTTTCCAATGAGTCAACTCTTCGCATGAGGTGGCCAAAGTACTGGAGTTTCAGCTTCATCATCAGTCCTTCCAATGAACACCCAGGACTGATCTCNTAGATGTTTTTCTGGAACTCTCTTGCTTTTTTGATGATCCAGCGGATGTTGGCAATTTGATCTCTGGTTCCTCTGCCTTTTCTAAAACTAGCTTGAACATCTGGAAGTTCTCGGTTCACGTATTGCTGAAGTCTGGCTTGGAGAATTTTGAGCATTACTTTACTAGCATGTGAGATGAGTGCAATTGTGTGGTAGTTTGAGCAGATTGACTTAATTTCCAAAGTGATTTTAATTACCAAAATATTATTTCACAAAAGAAATATTCTAACATTTTCATATGCTTATAATTCTGATATAGTTTTTTGAATTAATAGTTAAGGTTTATTATTGTTAGAGAAACAAATGGTAATATGCAATCACTTTGGGAATTCCATACTACTTATCATAACATAAATATACAGCTGCCCAAACTCCTGAGCCCAAATATGCATATCTTTGCTTTAGCTCATAACTGTGTTTCTTTTTCCTGCTTCAGTCATCCTTTTATATCCCCTTTGTTTGTTTACCCTTCCTTAAAATATTTCTACTGTAACAATCAAGATGTTTTTCCTTTTTTAAAATCTACTCTGTTGAAGTATAGTTGATTTGCAATGTGTTAATTTCTGTTATACAGTAAAGTGATTCTGTATACATATATATATATATTCTTTTTCATTATGGTTTATCACAGGATATTGAACATAGTTCCCTGTGCTACTATATAGTAGGACTTTGTTGGTTATCCATTCTGTATATAATAATTTGCATCTGCTAATCCCAAATTCCCAATTCATCTCTCCCCCACTCACTTCCCCCTTGTTAACAACAAATCTGTTCTCTAGGTCTGTTCTCTATGTCTCTGTGTCTGTTTTTGTTTCATAGATAAATTAGTTTGTGACAGATTGGATTCCATATTTAAGTGAAATCATATATTTGTCTTTCTATCTTCCTTCAGTTAGTGTGACCATCTCTATGTCCGTCCATGTTGCTGCAAAGGCTGAGTAGTATTCCACTGTACGTATGTACCCCACCTTCATTCATTCATTCACACAGATGCTTTTCTTAATTGCATTACCTTCGTTTCAGGCTCTCTGGGTTCTGGCCTTGTCAGGATGCATCCAGGGAAGGGTGTGCCCTGGGAGCATTCATGTGACCCGTCTGTCTGCCCCCAGACTCAGCTCTGAGTCTGCTCTCTCAGCCTTCTCTCCTGAGAGTGACTGCTGTGCAGAAGCAGGATTTTCTCATCACTGTTTCCTCTTCCCCGCAGAACCTTGATGCTCTGCATGACCACCTTGCTACCATCTACCCCGGCATGCGGGCGCCTTCCTTCCGCTGCACCGATGCGGAGAAGGGCAAAGGACTCATCCTGCACTACTACTCAGAGAGAGAGGGGCTGCAGGATATTGTCATCGGAATCATCAAGACAGTAGCTCAGCAGATACACGGCACCGAAATAGACATGAAGGTAATGGGCAGTAACGGGGGCTCCTCTGAACGCGGGTGACATGTGGAGTGTTAGAAAGGCTCCCAGTTTACCCTTGGACATCGCTGTTAGTGGACATCAGCAGAGGTATAGATCAGCCATAACAGTGGTGGCACTGGCGATCTTCTATGCTTGGCCTTGGAATGCATTATACAGGAGTGTTTTCCTTGTGGGAGCAGATTTTTCTTTCCATTTATACATTGCTTAAGGCAATGGGAAATTTAATTTACATTTCCTGGGAGTCTTACTTACTGGGAAGCAGGAGAATCTGTGACTGGCTTAGCCGTGGCCTTCAAAATGCAAAAACCCATGGACACATTCTAAAATAATATGAAGTATTATTTCACTGTTCATGGCTTCTTTGTGGATTTTTTTTTTGTGGGGGTCCATCTGTGAAATGTGGTTAGAATATCTCATTTTGTGAGCCGAAAGTTTTGCTTTAAAAAAAAAATTAGACTGTTTTGTAAAAGCCTGATCTCATACTTGCTTTGTTATTGATGATACCCGCTGTTTTGAGTGATGATTTTAGGGTAGTGATACAATTGTTTTCCCATATTTCTGACCTAGAGAGCTGCTCCCAGGAAGCTGTGTTTTGTGTGTCTTCATATTTAAACACAAGAGCCATTTTTTAGTGGCCCTAAATTTGACAAAAGTGGGGAGAGGGGTGCCCTATTATTGTTTAGCTTTTTCACAAATGATAACATTTTATTATAGAAAAAACATACCAAATATAGGATTTTATAAACACTGGTAGGTGAACAAGTGCAGCTTTAAACATAAATACAAAGTGAAATGGCAAAACCTACAAGCCTTTTGTTTTTTAGAGAAATGTCATGTTCTCCTGCAGAGGTGGTCTCACCAGAGCACAAATGCGACTCCATCTCCTATAGAGGCTTCAGGTTCACTTTCTGCACAGTCTGACAGTTTCAAAATGATGGCAAGAAGTGGCATGAATAAATCACTGAGACTGATTCTTAACTTTCTCTTGACTTTTACTTGGTAAAGGCTCCCCATCACACTCTGACAATTTAAAGCCTGTGCTCTGGTTGTGTTTATTCACAAAAGGACCTCCTGGAATACTAGCCATCCTTCCTACGCTTACTCCACAGTGTTTTCATAAACGTGTGTACATTAGTTCAAGATAATACTGGCTGTTGCACATTATGCAGCAAATCTAGCTCCTTTCTTCTAGCTTCTTTCCCTTTTTTTTTTTAACTGTCATTCTTTCTTTATGGAAAATCTAATAGGCAGTGTACTTTCTCACATATACAGTTACATCCTAACATATGTGGGAAGCCCAAACTTTGAGTATAGTATTACACAAATAAAACTTGTAGCATTTAGGTTGATTATATTAGGAAAGCATCCTGCTTATTTAATCTAGTAACATTGCATTACATTTCAGTTTTTTTTTTTCTTTTCTGGAGTTTCTGTTAGTTCTGACATGATTCCCCAGGTGCATTCTTTGTTTTTCTACTACTAGAAAGTGGAAAACATGGAACATGATGTTATCAAATCCAGAGACATTTAAAAATTGAAAACTTAGGTAAAGGATTGAAATTCATCCATGATTAGGAATCTCACTGGAAATCAATTAAAATTCAATATGCCTTTCATTTCCAACTTTGGATTCTAACACCAAACTAACACCTCATCTCAAGTGAGGGAGCCTGTGTCAAGGGGGTTGTAAACACTGGTCTGCTCTTGGTTTGTTAATTCCTTAGCCAAGCTGAGCAAGAAGCAGGTACATAGAAACTTCAGGAAAGAAACATTAACTGGGGCACACTTGGAAACTACAGTTGCCATGGTGATTAGAGTCTTTGCTTGGGAGGTTGATAGCAGTAGCACTCTATATACAATTCAGGTTTTTACTTAGTTGTGGTAATCACTTATAGACACTTTATATAATATGGGCCCATTCGTTGATTCAAGTACTCTAAAATAGATGTCTGAAATATTTGTATTTGGTATTTATATTTGGTGTATTTAGTTTTTTCAAGGGCAGTGTTTTAATTTCCTGGGGTATTCTTTTTTAATTAATTTATTTTTTATTGAAGGATAATTGCTTTACAAAATTTTACTCTTTTCTCAACAGTAAAACAGTCAAACCTCAACATGAATCAGCCATAGGTATACATATATCCCCTCCCTTTTGAAACTCCTTCCCATCTCCCTCTCCACCCCACTCCTCTAGGTTGATACAGAGTCCCTGTTTGAGTTTCCTGAGCCATAGAGCAAATTCCCATTGACTATCTATTTTACATATGGTAATGTAAGTTTCCGTGTTACTCTTTCCATATATCTCACCTCTCCTCCCCTCTCCCCATGTCCATAAGTCTATTCTCTATGTCTGTTTCTCCATTGTTGCCCTGTAAATAAATTCTTCAGTACCATTTTTCTAAATTCCGTATATACGTGTTAGAATATGGTATTTATCTTTCTCTTTCTGACTCACTTCCCTCAGTTAATAGGTTCTAGGTTCATCCACCATCCTGAGGTATGCTTAAGTCTGTAAGTCTCATAAGTCTGGAGCTACCAGATAATTTAAGTAGTTAAGAAATAGTAGACCATGTCATGAAGTGATAAATGAAGGATAGGCTACAAATATAATCAGAAAAGCTATTTTGCAGATTTAAGCAAAGCAGAAGAGTAGAATTGAGGAATTCGTAAACTTGGCTTGCACATAATTCAGTTCTTTTAGCTGAAATGGAAAGAGTAAAACATCAAAATTTTTAGATTGCTTTGTGTTGCTTTGGAGACTTTAGGGAATGAGTTTTCTTGGGGCAAAATTTTCCCATTGTAAATGAGAATACTGAACTTTAACTAGTGTAGATTGATGTGGAAGTTTTAATAGTACTACCCTGATTTCACCGTGAAACAGTATGTGGGAATATATATACAAGAGTCCATATTAATTGCTATTTGTTCCTCAGTGTCACAGTTTGGTGCAGTGAACTAAGGAAAAAGGGGGAAAAGAGCCCTATTTAGCTGCAACTGAAGAAATACTCTCTCAACCGCCTCCCATTTTGATCTGGCTGCAACTCGAGATATGTTTTTTCCTTTTTAAGAGGACATGTTGGTTGCAGTTTTTTAAACTCAAAAGAAAAAATCTTTTTTATACTTTAAGCATGTTTGTGAATAATATTTAGAAATGTAGTTATTTTTTAAATTAGAGAGTTTCGCTCATAATCAGGATTACTCCCATAGGATAAGCTTCTAGATTTGGAATTAAATCAAAGAATATAATTTGGGGAGGTTGATTTTTATGCATATTGTCAATCTATCCTTCAGAAAAATTAATCAAAATACCCTTCCATTAGTGGTGTATGAAATGATTCTTTTTTTCTGTTCCTACCTAATATGGCACTGCAGTTTTATATACTTGCCAGTTGATAGATAAAAAAGACATCACATATATTTTAAGATATGTGCTTCTGTCATTTAATTTTCCTCTGTTTCTACACAGCATTTTTTTTTTATCATATTAAACAGTACTGCTCTGTCTGATGTGTAGGTCATTTACCGTACATGTGTGCCTGGCTTGAGGGGGCGCTGAGCCTCCAGCGGGGACAGGGGGTGCTTTATTCCAGATTCTACCAAAGAGGCTGCATGGACCACTAGGGGACTCGTTCCAGATTTTCAGTTTTACTGTGAATAATTATTGTCTTCAAATTTCCTAAATCAGTATCCAAAAATAGTTTTCTATATTAGGCATATATAGTATTTGCATATTTTAAATTTTTAAAATTAACCTTCCAAATGTGGCTCTCATGACCAATTTCTTAGGTATTTAAATATTGTAACCAAATGGAAATGCCAGACAGTTAACACCATTTACCTCTTTGGCATCCAGGTTATTCAACAAAGAAATGAAGAATGTGATCATACTCAATTTTTGATTGAAGAAAAAGAGTCAAAAGAAGAGGATTTTTATGAAGATCTTGACAGATTTGAAGAAAACGGTACCCAGGAATCACGCATCAGCCCATATACGTTCTGCAAAGCCTTTCCCTTTCACATCATATTCGACAGGGATCTTGTGGTCACTCAGTGTGGCAACGCCATCTACAGAGTCCTTCCCCAGGTAAAGGACATTACATTCCCTGGGAGCCTGAGATGAAAGGCCACAGAAATGCTACTGTTTCACGTGGCCACTCGTTGACTTAACCTTTGTTTATCAGTCTGGGAACATGGAGCACTTGATACATCACAGAAGTCCTGTAACCGTAAACTCAGTATGTTTGAGCATACTGCAACTTTGCCTAGGACAGCTGCTTTTTTTTTTTTTTTAAATCACAAGAGCAATGGGAGAATTTTGCAGGAATAGTGGACTTGTTTTCATGAGAAAATGACTTTCCAGTAACGATCAGCTTTCACTTAATTTATTCATCATTGAGCAAATAGTCACTGTTTATCTGCTGTCTGAAAATAATGTTCAAAATCAACCATTGACACTTTTAGGCAAAAGAAAGGAATTTAAAATACACCAAAGTGCTAATTAAGTGCCCTTTCCTTTTCATCTGCATTTTAGCTCCAGCCTGGGAACTGCAGCCTCCTGTCTGTCTTCTCCCTGGTCCGTCCTCACATTGACATCAGTTTCCATGGAATCCTCTCACACATCAATACAGTCTTTGTGTTGAGAAGCAAGGTAATCACAATGTTATTTCACTCAATGTGAGGAAGTAAGGTCTGTTACAGATTAGAAATGTTCCACAGGGATAATTAGCTACGAAAACATTCTGTGAGATTCAGAAGGTGTAGAGAGAGGAAAACCAGACCCTGAAGGGAGTCCTGTTTCAAAAGCAATGGTGCTAAATTGGGGGTTGTCTGAGGAGCAGTGGGATTCTATTCACGGATTAAATGAACAGAAGTGAATTTTGAAAATGCCTTGCCTGGATGGGCCAGTCACAAATGAGTGAACCAGGCAAGCTTAGTTGCTCAGTGGTGTCCAACTATTTATGACCCCATGCACAGTAGCCTGCCGGGCTCCTCTGGATGGGACTTTTCAGGCAAGAATACTGGAGTGGGTCACCATGTCCTTCTCCAGGGGATCTTCCTAACCCAGGGATCGAACCCAGGTCTCCCACATTGCAGGTGGATTCTTTACCGTCTGCTCCGTGGAAAATCAGAATTGAGAGTCCCAGAAGCTTTCCACAAGGATATCAGAGTAGCACAGCTCCTGTCTTCCTGGGTTCAGTTTGCATTTCTGCAGTGATGTCAGGCTGTCTGGCTGTTACCTGGCAGACTGGTGGAAGGCCTCTTCTGTTCTGCCTGGGTCCCTGTTCTCCCTTATGGTTTGGTGGGAATGAGGTCCCTGTGCCCTTCTTGGGAGGGATGCTCATGTTGACTGTTGTGTCTTGCCTTTTCCAGGAAGGGCTGTTGGATGTAGAGAAGTCAGAGTGTGAAGATGAGCTGACGGGCACTGAAATCAGTTGCTTACGGCTCAAGGGTCAGATGATCTACTTGCCTGAAGCAGACAGCATACTCTTCCTCTGCTCACCAAGGTACTCACTTTTGGATGAATTATGATGGATATACGCACCCATCTTTTGCTAAATGGAAATTCAGTAACATTTTATTCAATTGTTTTTACAAAGTATACTTAGATTTTACAACTCTTATACATCTCTCTATAACAGGGATAGTTTTGTTGAACTTATATAATAACTCAGAAGAAATCATGTATTCTCTTTTATTTGCCACATCTTCATCAATCTGTTGAGTGTTTATGCCTTTAGGTCAGTGGATATGTAATCTGAAGTTAGCTAATTCTGTAGTTTTGTACCTTCCAGAGAGTCATCATGGAGAAAACAAGTCTACAAAGCATTTATTAATAATACGATGGCATACACAGGTGTATTTGGCACCAATAAATTACTTTTCTAATGATTTCTGGATTTAAACTATTTTATGTTAAAAACATTTTTCTACTTTAACTGAGATATACTATGCACAATGCAGTATTAAGTTAAAATTTATGTGAATTTTGTGACATAGTAAACATCAGAGGGAAGTACAACTGTAGGCTGGCATTTTTACAGTTTGACAAAGCATTCTTCTAAAAGGTGTATGGGAATTCAGAGTAAGTAATGTGTGTTTAAACTTATGTTAGAACAGTAGAAATAGATAATTACAAAACTTGTTGTTAGGTAATATTTTGTACATTTTTAATTTGTATAGCCAAAATGTATGCATATTATTTAGTAACAGTTGACAGAGCATGTTTTGGAGGGCTATTGATTAAAAATTTAAAGTCCAAATGATCACTTTTCACTTGAAAATTTTGTTTCAAAATTTCTGAAAAATTTAGTGGATTTTGTAACAGCCTTCTTTAAAATTATTAAAATTTTAATAATAATAACAATAATTATTGATATATTACTATAATACATAATAATATAATTATTATAATAAAAAATCTGGTATTAAAGACTATATAAGGCTAATGATGGGGTTTTTCTATTTTGATATTAAGAGAGACAAAATTAGGGAATATAAACTCATATTTTTTATTAATAACCTCCATTGATCAAACTGTATTTGCATCTGCTATCAATAAATGTCTTTTCCTTCTGCCTTTTTCCAAGTTGAGCATTGGTAGAAAGCTAACTTCTAAGTAAAGACAGTTCCTATTCATGGAGACAACCGTTTCTTTGGAAGTACAGGCAGAAATTTGGAGTCTACCTGCTAATTACCGTATGCAGAAATAGGATACATAGTAACATAATCACCAATTATTATATGGGACTTGTGTGTGTGTGTGTGCTCACCCAGTCATGTCTGACTCTTTCCTGCCCTGTGGACTGTAGCCTGCCAGGTTCCTCTGTTCATGGGATTCTTGAGTAGGTTGCCATTTTCCCCTCCAGGGACCTTCCTAACCCAGGGATGAACCTGAGTCTCTTGAGTCTCCTGCACTGGCAGGTGTAGCCTTTACCACGGAGCCACCTGAGAAGCCTTCTTATATGGGAACTGCTCGTGTGGTACTCACATTCCATCAGAGGTCAGCTGAAAGCACGTTAACTTGTAAAATGTATGGCTCCAAGAGGATAGGATAGTTTGGGGCTTCCCTGGTAGCTCAGCTGATAAAGAATCCACCTCCAGTGCAGGAGACCCGGGCTTGATTCCTGGGTTGGAAAGATGCCCTGGAAGAGGGCATGGCAGCCCACTCCAGTATTCTTGCCTAGAGAGGAGCCTGGCAGGCTGCATACAGTCCATGGGGTTGCAGAGTTGGACACAACTGAATGACTAAGCACACAGCTCATTAAAATAACAATAAGTTTTTTGAAAAATGACATGATTTGATTTTCTCTCTCAATATGAGCATTTTAATGATTCATTTTCAGTTTAAGCTTATAGACATTTTTTTTTCTCTACTAATTGGCCAGTCTTGAAACCACTGGTGGATGATCTGGCTTCTTTCCCCAAGGGTGTGTGTCAACAGTAGACTCTTTGATTGTTTTATTTTCCTTCATTGGTGTGCTCATTCTTGCTTTTTTAATGGACATTCTGAGAATATATTTCAGGGAAACATTTTATTAATCCAAAATTCTTCAGTAAATTCACAGCACAATTATGTCAGTTTAGAGAAATTGTTATTATGAATGACTGGAAATGATTATTTGGCATTTAAATAATTAAAACCAATAATGTAACCTTAATATATTTTAACCAAAGGCTAAATTGTTTAAAAACAGTGAACTCTTTATTTACCAGATCTTCATTGAATCAATAAATATTACATTTTGTAAAAATGACAAGTCACAAAGACACATAAAAATCAGCAAAAATAAATAGATGAAACAAAATAGCCAAAGAAAATAAGAAAGTGGAGCCAGAAATTAGTGTGTAAAAATACATGTTAGAAGTCAAGAGTACAGGAAATTCATGTTGAAGATGGGTCATAAATCTGGTGTCAACCTCCAGTCATCGTGTCTGAAAGAGAAAACAACTAGTTACAAGAGTCAGAGATCCCATAAAATGACAATCAACTAGTTTTGTAGAAGAAGCGTTATTATCCTTATAAAAGAGATTAAAGATAACTCTTTTTTAAAGTTTTTTTTTTAATGTGGACCATTTTAAAAGTATTTGTTGAATTTATTACAACATTGCTTCTGTTTTACATTTTGTTTTTTGGCCTCAAAGCATGTGGGATCTTAGCTTCCCAACCAGGGATCAAACCCGCACCCCCTGCACTGGAAGGCGAAATCTTCACCACTGGACTGCCAGGGAATTCCCAAGATAGCTTTTTCTTCATTTCTTTATAGTGAGGAAAACCTCTGGTAATAATAAGTAACAGCCTTGAGATAAAAACCTGAGTGGGTTTCATAAGGCAACTTTTCACATTATCGTTCAATTTAGGCTGATGGCATAAAAAAATGCAGTTTGGCAAAACTGCATTTCAAGTTCACTTCTCTTTGATAGATGTTTACATGTTAAGAAGAATGAAGTCATATTCCTCTTGCTTTTATCTGAGTTTTCTTCAGCCTGAGCTTTTGAGTGGCAGGCAGTGGCGGGATTAGACTTCTTGACGGAAACCAGGGTGGTGTTGCGGTGGGAGCTTGGGGTCTGACTGTGTGTCCTTCTCCTTGTGACAGTGTCATGAACCTGGACGACCTGACCCGGCGAGGGTTGTACCTCAGTGACATCCCTCTGCATGATGCCACCCGGGACCTCGTGCTCCTGGGAGAGCAGTTCCGAGAGGAATACAAGCTGACCCAGGAACTGGAAATCCTCACAGACAGGCTGCAGCTCACGCTACGGGCCCTGGAAGATGAGAAGAAAAAGACGGACACGTAAGAATGGAGCCTGTGGTTACAGATAACAGGCAGGGCTCCCCTGCATGGTGGATTCGGCAGCTCTCCTGCCAGACTGTGACTGGGTCCAAGCACAGATTTACTTGCCACAGGCCAGTAAATCCAGAGATGGGGTGTTGGGACAAGGAATAGAGACTTCATTACTAAAGCCAGCAGAAGGAGAAGATGGTGAACTCATGTCCCGAGTTAGAATTCAGGCTCTTTTAACTGAAAGGGAAGGGACTCAAGCCAAGCGTTTCCTGGTTCCCAGCAGCCTCCAGGGAGGATGTGTTAATTTCTTCTTGCCTGCAGCCACTCAGAGGTGGGCCTTGTCAGGTCATTTCCTGGGAGCTGAGTAAAGATATTTTAGCTTAATGCTTATTACCTGGGAGGCAAAGTGCCCACAAATGGGACATTACATATAATTTAGGCTTCGAGGCAACATCACTTTAGTGATTAAATAGTAATAGCATACAAAGACTCCGACTCGAGGAACCTGTCACAGTTATGGAGTCCGAAATAAACTGTTCCATGTCACTTAAATCTGTCAGGCACACAGAAAGAAATCAGTCCTAGTAGTAACGGGGATATGTCTTTTAATTTTACAAACCAAGCTGGAAGAATATACAACAAATCATGTCTCTGCAAATCATTAGAATAACTCAAGTGTGGGTTTTAAGTCTGACTGCCTGTTCATCCATTTCTTCACGCAGCAGTGTGTACCCAGCATCTTCTCTGTGCCAGGGCTACCAGGTGCTGGGGTCCTGAACACTGAGCTTAGATTTTGCCATTATATTTTCAAGGAGTTCTTGAACGCAAAATTATTTTAGGATTCGGCAGATATGAATGTGAGAGACTGTAATGTCATCTATGATGACAATGATTACATCTGTAATTTGATTCATGAACCAAAGTATCAAAATACAAAACTATACAAAACTATGAATGGTGCTTTAAATTTTGAAATAGTGGGTAAGTGACATTTAAGATAGTATTTTGTTTTCAAGTAATTTATTTAAACAAATACACATTGTGCATACCACTTGGCCTTGCTTGAGGAGTAGAAATATAGTAGAAGTATATTAATTAAAATTAATTAAAAGTTCAAAATCACTGACTTCCATAAGAGGATTTTACCCAGGGTCTTATGTGTTCATTTTTAACATTTGTATAATAGGAAGCAATCTTAGAGAATTGACCTGACCTTCCTTCCTGTAGGACTATTTCACTCTACTTGACACCATAGCATTGGTAGCGGAATCACTTCCTGTGATGTCTGATGTGTAATCAGACTTTCTTGCACTGATACACGTATTGTTGCCCATGGGTGGATGCAAGGTAAACATGTCAACCATTTGTCAACAGCATAGATGGATGGAGAATCCAGGTGAATGTCTATCTTCGTCCTTAGCCTCTTCCTTCACCTTTCCTACTCTGTATAATGAATATGAAAATGATAGTTTATTGGAGATCACTTTACTTTCCTTGAGGCCCTAACCCCTTAGTCTTTCCAGGTATTTTTCAAATCTCCAGAAGTATATGGGATGAGGCAGGTACTCAAATCCCTCCTACTGCTCAAGAAGACAGCTCAAAATTGTATATTTTATCAGTATGTGGAACAGCTTCCTTCATGAAATATAATATATTGTGAGATAGTGCTTAAAACTGAGGCTCAGAGTTGTCTGGATTTGTTAAGTTTGAGTTGCCCAGATCGTGCTCGGCTGTTAAATTGGAAAATCACCTCGGTTTCTCTCTTTGTTGATACTTGATTTTCAAAGTGATTTAATTATAAATGTTGACTACTAATTTTCGTTGAAACAAAGTCATGCTACTGCGCACATGTAATATTCAAAATAGCCTTAAAGCATTTAATAAAATGTTCTATGTTTGAGAGAGAAAATGAGAGACTGAAGAAATTCCACTGAAGCTAGGAAAAAAATGAGACCTCAGCTTCTTAAATCTCACCCCAAGTGACAGCTGGCTCCCGGGAGAAATAGGCCGGGAGGTGTCGTTTGCTCCTCTGGTTGTCCAGTCCAGGACACTCTCAGGCCTCAGCTCTGACCTCCTATGTGTTTGCTCCCCACGCCAGTGTCTTCTTGTGCCATCGGCCTGGTCTCAGGATTGTCAATGAAAATGAGATCTTTTCTTTTCCAGACCAGTTTCTTACCTGCTTTATCAGTTTCTTCCACAGAGAAGTGAGGCAGGAAGGAAAATCTGTTTTCCTTTCTTTCTTCCTTCTGCCCTTCCTTTCTTTTATGGAAGTCTAGTTTATTTACAGTGTTGTGTTAGTTCCGGGTGTCCAACCCCATGATTCATTTATCCATATATATTCTTTCTCAGGTTCTTTTTCCTTATAGATTACTACAAAATGTTGAGTATAGTTCCCTGTGCTGTACAGTAGGTCTTTGTTGGGGAAATCTGTTTCTTTTCATGTCAGGTGACAAATGTTGAGGCAGACAGCTTGCCCCCGAGAGGTGAACGTGTCCCTGGGAGCCCATAGTATTGCAAGAGTCAGACGTGACTCAGTGACTGCATCACCACCACCACACCCCAGAGCTAAGTGCTGAAATGACTTCTTTCATCCTGTGAAAGTCACAGTTGGAGCGCTGAAGCACAGGGCACATAGAACAACTTCAGCGTCCTGGTGTCTGTCCTTTGTTTTGTCTGTCTGTTTTGTTTGGCTTATTTTGATACACTTTGAATTGGTTTGGATTGGGAGATGTTTGGATTGGTTTAAAACAAACCAGTTATTTATATTTTCTAGCCTTATAAATGTAGCTAATGATGAGCGTCCTAGCAGAGCCTTCACTGTGCTTATGGCATCAAAGTCTCTAAAGTGGGCAGTAGAAGGGCTAAAGCAGCTCTCAGCATCTCTCATGATGATGGCTCTGTCCTGATCCCTCTGGGCAGGTTGCTGTATTCCGTGCTTCCTCCATCTGTGGCCAACGAGCTGAGGCACAAGCGTCCGGTGCCTGCGAAGAGATATGACAACGTGACCATCCTCTTCAGCGGCATCGTGGGCTTCAACGCCTTCTGCAGCAAGCATGCATCTGGGGAAGGGGCCATGAAGATTGTCAACCTCCTCAACGACCTCTACACTAGGTTTGACACTCTGACGGACTCCCGGAAAAATCCATTTGTTTATAAGGCAAGTCCACGCCCTGTCCGAATGCAGTGCCATTCATTACTGTGAATTTTCAGACCCTGTCTTCCAATGGCGCAGCAGTCACAGTCCCTGACTGTAGCCCTGTAGCCTGGGTACAGTCAGCTCTCATGCATTCATTGTTTACCATTTTCTTAAATAATTACCTCTTGTTCTAAAATAGTCTTTTCCCTGTAACTCAAACGAATGGAGCAGATGCTTCCCTAGTTAAAATGTTTAGCAACTTATTTGCACTTAGGTGAATAAATCTGTACACGTGGTTTATCACACATAATATAAACATAGCATTCGTTTCAGTGCTCTGCAAGAGATATTTTTACTGAAAGGTATAAATGATTTGCACAGTAGAGAAGTCATGGAGCATAGGAAGAATGCCAGGGACTCAGACCTGCTTTTAGATAACATCAGCTGGAAATAAACTTTCATAAGGCATTTCTGCCCATGGTTTCAATTAGAAAAAAATTATAATATTGGAAAAATGAAGTCAGTGGACTATCGCTTGGTAAAGGCAAGAATGTGAACCAAACCATCCCTAGGCATCTGGAGTCATAGCAGTGCCACAGGGACTATTTATTTTTACCATCATTTCCTGAGGAACAATGTAACGTGGTGTGAGCACTTCATAAAAATAAATGGTTAATGACCAGGATGAACCACTAAACTTAGGGAAGTTGGCGCTTTGGCCCATCAAACCATCTCTGTTTTAAGGGGAAATAGGATCATAAATTATTCTACTGGGTTATAAGGATGTCTAAGGTGAGAAAGTAGGACTTACTAGAAGAAAAATAATACTGTGTTCTGTCCCCTGCCTGTAATCAGACTTCAAATGCCTGGTGTGTACATTTTAATTACTGACCAGTTTTCTTGTTGGAATCGAATATATTAGAATTTTAAGAGATTCAGGGGAGGAAAGTTGAAAGTTATTGATAGGAATTGGAAAAGCGTGTTTTGTGTAAGGGTGGCACGTGAGTCAGTCATGTTTGTACTAACCAGTCTGCGCCCGACCAGGTGGAGACTGTCGGGGACAAGTACATGACGGTGAGCGGTCTGCCAGAGCCGTGCATCCACCACGCACGGTCCATCTGCCACCTGGCCTTGGATATGATGGAGATTGCTGGCCAGGTCCAAGTTGATGGTGAATCTGTTCAGGTTAGTAGGTAAAACACAGATTTTAATGGTAGTAGGCCTTTTGTACAACTGATTTATATTCTTGACCAGCTAGTCATTAATTATGCATAAGGAATTGCATCTTGACAACAAAGATTAAATATTTTTAATGTTTTTTTAATTGAATATATTTTACAATGTTATGTTAGTTTCTACTGTACAACAATATGATTCAGTTATATACATATGTATGTGCATTTTTTCATATTCTTTTCCATTATGGTTTAATGCAGGATATTGAATAGAGTTCTCTGTGCTATGCAGTAGGTCCTTGTTGTTTATCTATTTTATATATAGTAGTGTGTATCTGCTAATCCCAAACTCCTGTTTTATCCCTCCTCCACTCCCTTTCCTCTTTGGTAACTGTGGGTCTGTTCTCTATGTCTATGAGTCTGTTTCTGTTTCATGGATAAGTTCATTTGTGTCAAATTTTAGATTCCACCTATAAATGGTATCATATGATATTTGTCTTTGTCTGACTTACTTTACTTACTATGCTCCATCCCTCCATGTTGCTGCAAATGGCATTATTTCATTCTTCTTATGGCTGAGTAATATTGTAGTGTATATAGGTATTACATCTTCCCTATCCATTCATCTCTCAGTGGACACTTAAGTTGCTTCTGTGTCCTGGTTATTGTAAACAGTGCTTCTGTGAACATTGGGGTGCATGTGTATTTTTGAATTAAAGTTTTCTTTGGATGTGTGCCCCGCAGTGGGATTGCTGTATCATATGGCAGTTCTATTTTTAGTTTTTAAAGGAACCTCCATACTGTTCTATAGGGCCTGCACCAACTTGTATTCCCAGCAACAGTGTAGCAGGGTTCCATTTTATCCACACCCTCTCTGGCATTTGTTATTTGTAGACTTTTTAATGATGGCTGTTCTGACCAGTGTGAAGTGATACTTCATTGTAGTTTTGATTTGCATTTCTCTAATAATTAGTGATGTTGAGCATCGTTTCATGTGCCTTTTGGCATCTGTATGAACAAAGCCTAATATTTTATTGAACCTATTATATTACATTCTTCCATAGAAATGGGAAATCTGTCCACCTATTTGAAATTACCTTCTTTATTCCGTGTGCTGAAAGTCATGAGGATGAGAAGAACCCCCTGTCCCTTCTGGTTTATTTTTAAAAATCTCTTTCCTAAATCTAATGTAAGTGGCCAGATTCATACTTTTGAAAGCTTCAAAGAATGTTTCTCTTGAAAGTCAGATTTTGTGAGGGTTTTTGTCTGTAATATGTTTGGAGTTCTAGAGAATTCTTATGATTTTTATATGATGACTCTGAATTCTTTAGTATAGCGTGAGCAATACTTCCTATTATTGAATGTATTGAACCAGAGTTTGATTCTGCAGATTACGATCGGGATCCACACAGGGGAGGTAGTTACCGGAGTCATAGGACAGAGGATGCCTCGCTACTGTCTTTTTGGAAACACTGTCAACCTCACAAGCCGAACAGAAACCACTGGAGAAAAAGGGAAAATAAATGTGTCTGAATATACATACAGGTCAGAGAACACATCTAGGTATCTGCTGACTTGAAAAATGTCTCCTTGCAGCTGCTTTAATTCCCTGGGTGATTTTATTACCTTTTACAGCTATCAACTCTGCTTTTAGGATTACTATTATTTTTCAATTTAAAAAAAAAACAAAAACAAGCTGGTGTGTTTTTCTTTTTTTTGGTCACACCATGGTATGTGGGATCTTATTTCCCCAACCAGGGATCGAACCTGGGGTCCCAGTATTGGGAGTGTAGAGTCTTAACCACTGGACCATCAGGGAAGGTCTTGGGATTATTTATTTTTTATTTGAGAAAATTGTGTCATTACTTCAGTTTTAAATGATTTTACATACTCTTGGGAATTTCTGCTGTGGTGTTGTTACTAAAGCCTCGAGGTACCTTTAAATAATTTACTGTGTGTCATTCCTATCTCCGTTTATAACTTTGATGTATGTTATGTTCCCTGTGTGACCATAACACCAAGCTTCTCTGCCTGTTCCCTGTCCCCTTTTAGATGTCTCATGACACCAGAAAATTCCGACCCGCAATTCCATTTGGAGCACAGAGGCCCCGTGTCCATGAAGGGCAAAAAGGAGCCGATGCAAGTTTGGTTTCTATCCAGAAAAAATACAGGAACAGAGGTATGACTCATCAGAGTATAATTCCTTTTTTAAGACTGGGTATGAATATGGGGAGCTAAATCGTAATCTCTGAAAATATGTTTCATTTGCAAAGAATTCTTGCTTACATGAACTTGTAAGTACAGCAGCGGAAACGCTGACCCATTAGTGAGCTGGTTAGAACAATGCAGCTTCTAGGGGAGACCTGATGGCTGACGGTTTTGTCCCCTAATGAAATTAAAATCAAAAGCACTGGAGAGAGAAGCCTGGGTTTTGGTTCTTCTGCCGTCATCTGGCTGGAACCCCGCAAGTGAGTGGGCAGTGAGGGGCGTCCCTGGCCCCCTCCCCAGTGCCCTGGGTCGCCATGTGGTCATGGCCAGGGCTGAGACACGACCGTCTTCAAGGGTGGTTTCCTAACCACGATGCTCCAGATCCTTCTTTCTAAGGCCATGCCAACGCCTCGTGGAATGTTTGGGGATCTTTGGACATTCTAGTCCCTGGTGGGTCTCTCCTGGAGAGAAGAGTGATTTATGCGTGTCCAGAATCTAAATAATTCCTCATGGAAGCCACAGGTTCGCGCTCACCCTGTGTTTGTACCCCAGCCGGAACCCATGTGCTGGGGGGTAGCACTGGGGTTTGCTCGGGGGTCCTGTGGCCCACCGTGGCTCACGACACCAAGGTCCCGCCAGCCTTGCCCCTCTCTCAGTGGGCTGCATCAGAAACAAGCCCGGTGCTTTATGCCCTGTTGATGTACTGGTTCTGTAGAGGGGGAGAGACTCTTTGACTATATGTATTTTCCTGGAGGTGCACATTCCCTAAAAATGCTTTTAGAATAGAAGTCGTAAAAGGAATGAAATGCCAAGTTGTAAAATATTTATCTTTATCTTCTTTTCACTGTTTTCACTTTAAATAATTTACTTCTGGCACTAGCATGCTTCCTGATGTTCTTCTGATAAATTAGTTTGCCGGAAGCGTTGTTCCTTTTATTTGGGTGGCTCTGTTTCAGCCAACCTGATGGTGGGAATGACTTAAAAAAGTGGTAGATATGAATGCAGATCAAATTTTATTTTAAAAAAAAGAAAGAAAATATTTTGAGGAATCCTACAAGCTTTCTTATCACTGAAAATGAATCCCCTATTTACTTCACTTTTTACAGGAAACAGAGCAGGATGAAAACTGAATCCTGGACAGTGGGGTTAAGACCGCAGGGTGAGGTCCAGTCTCCCCCTAACAGATGCTGGGCCCGGGACCAGTGATTGCCTCGGTCCTTTTCATGGTTCCCCAAGTCTTTCTCCTGTGTATCTCTTTCCTTGTTCATTATTCAACTTTAGCTCTGCTTTTGATTATTTTTGAGGTTTAGTATGTTATCTGAAGTTTGGCTTTGTGCAGCTGATGTGAGCTTCACATGTCTTCAGATGGACTACGCATCCCCTGGCGTGGTGGTTTTCAAGTAGTGGGCACCCAATAAATATTTGGTGAATTTAATTAAATGAAACTGAACAGTATTCAGCCATGTGTATATATATCATGGTTTTCCACTTCTGTTCAGTGTCTATATGTGTATATTTTAATGACTATAACATATAAAAAGGTTTTATTGTGTTGGTGCATATCATTATAGAAATCGTTTTCTAAAGGAGTTAGTTCAGAATTTTAGGGGAAAAATGCAATTTATTTTCAGACTCCCCAAATAAGAATATATCATGCTAAGGAAAATAGTATCTATTTAGAATTATGTTAATTTCCCTTCAGAAATAGAGAATATACTTCTTTGCTGTTAAAGTATCAGGTTATTCATTCAGATCATGTGGCAATTACAGTTCCGCTAAAATGCTATCCTTTGCATTGTATCCTTTGAGTTGTAAATCTCATTCACCCCATGCAGCTGTTGGTGAAGGCAGCACTGTTTCACAATGAGCTATTGCATTAGTTTGGAGTAAACGTTAGGGGCTCTAACTACATCCAAGGATGAAGCTGGAAGCACAGCTGGGGGTTCGGTTGGTCAGAGCCCCTCTTGGCCCTTTCTTCCCAGAAATGAGCTCCTTTGTCTTAGCTCACAAGAACTTGATTCTATCCAGGGTGCCATGTTGAGAAAAGCTACTTTAATTTCAATGTAGAATGCATTCCTGTTGGAATCATCACCTGTTGTTCTTCATTATCTCTGATAATTTATTAATATCTATCTTTATAAAATACAGGACCACTACTTTTGTGTAAAAATGTTTGTCTTTAAATTTAGCATTTCCTATCAGCACGTTGATAACTTGTATAAACGTTCCATGTTCATGTGTAAGAGAACCTGTAATAAATTATTTTTTCCACTTGTCTCTAGACGGTTTTTGATTCAATAAAAATGATGTGAATGCTCTTACCAGTCTTTTAACTATTGCTGTTTTTGGAAATACGTCTTATCATTTTGCCTCTGATAGACTTTCATTTTGGTTCCCTGCTGTTATGGTAAAGCAGGGAAGTGGCTCCTATTCCTCAGGACTATTTCTATATGATATTTTTCTTTAGGATCAACACAGTGATGGCAGCAAGACCAGCACTGGGTAGGGGGAGTGGACAGACAGACACGTGTGAAGTGGCATCAGCTCTTGAAGAGCTTGCCACATTTCAGGAGTGAAAGACATGTATCTAAGTAACTATTTTATTGTTCAGTTGCTCAGTCATGTCCAACTCTTTGTGATCCCATGGACTGCGGCACACCAGGCTTCCCTGTCCTTCCCCGTCTCTTGAAGTTTGCTCAAACTCATATCCACTGAGTCTGCGATTCATATTGATAAAACATATTCAAGACACAGAAAGAATACTTAGAGAATGAGAACCAAGAGGGATCGGAAGGAGGAGGAAGGAAGCAGCTGGATTTTGTGATGGTTTTGTCTAAAGCTGAATGAATTCATCCCTTCTCTGTGGTTTCCTTCTGTTCAGCCCTCTTGTGTACCACCAAAAACAACAACAACAACAACAAAAAAACCCCCCACAAAGTTAGGTAAATGTAGGAGTTCCTCACTTTGAATTGAGGATATATGTCTGTTTTTTGGGGGGAGCTTACCAGGTGGCCCAATGGTAAAGAATTTGCCTGCCAGTGCAGGAGATGCAGGAGACTTGGGTTCCATCTCTGGATCAGGAAGATCCCCTAGAGGAGGAAATGGCAACCTACTGCAGTATTCTTGCCTGGAAAATTCCATGGACAGAGGAGCCTGGTGGGTTAATGTTCATTGGGTCACAAAGAGTTGGACACGACTGAATGACTCAGTCAGTCAGTCAGTTCAGTCACTGAGTCGTGTCTGACTCTTTGCGACCCCATGGACTAAGCACAGACAAATATATTTTGGAACCAATTCATTATTCCATTTTATTTGCATCTATGATGCTCCTCTGTCCCTGTGAGGGGAGCAGGTTTGGAGCTTAAAACCTATCCAGGCCTCTGTGATGAAGCCTCCATAAACCTCAAAGGTTGGAGAAATTTTGGGCTGGTGAGCAAGGGGCATTCATTTCTGGTGGGTGTGAAGCTGTGTCTCTTCCATCAGGCTGTTTCTGAATCACATCCTTTCATGATAAACCAGTCGTCTAGTTAGTAAAATGGTTCCCTGAGTTTGTTTCTCTCTAGCAGAATAATCAAACCCAAACAGGGAGTGTGGGAACTTTGGCCCTATAGCCGGTTGGTCAGAATCACAGGTGACAGCGTGACTTTCCTTTGGTCTCTGAAGTGGGGGATGTCCTTGCAGGACTGAGCCCTTAACCTAGGGAATTGGATGTGATCTTTGGGTCGACGGTGTCAGAACTGAGTTGAAGTGTAGGACATCCAGCTGGATTCTGAGAATTGCTCTGTGGTGTGTGAAGAAAACACACCCCACGTTATAAATGGGTGCAGATTCTCGAAGGGGAAAAAGGAACCAATCCTCTGTTCACTAAGATTTCCCTTTGCAACCTCGCTAATGGCTCTCAGAACCGCTAGAGGGCAGCAGAGGATGCTGTTTAGAACCTAAGGGCCGGATGGGGGCGTGAGGACACAGGGTCTCTTACAGGAAGTGCTGCTCGCTCACCCTCTTGGGGGCACTGAAGGGCACTTCCTGTGTGCAACCTCGAAATTTTCCCTCCCACCGTCCCTTACCGACTGTCAAAAGTATATCATAAAAATAATTGTTTCTACCCCATTATGACCATTCATGTAGCTTGAAATCTATTCACACGTATCATGGGCAGAAATTTCACCCAAAATTTTCACGCTATTCTGTAGGAAGGTGTGAAAATTTGTTAAAACAAGCAATTTGTTCTAGAAACTGTAATTCGTGCAGAATCATTTTAGGTGAGCTAAGCTGCATGTAGCTCATGTTAAAATGATTGCTTCTTGCTCCTTCTACCGTATTGGTGAGATGACATAATATAGGGTAGATTTTTAAAACCAAACCAAAACAAAAATCACTGTTCAGAGAGTTGAGAGCCCATATCCAGTTATGGCAAGGCTAACCCTGTGATCTTGCCACATTCTCTAACTTCTTAAATTCCTGATCTGTGAAAAGAGCTGGTCAAGATGATGTCTAAAGTAGATTCTTGCTCTGAAATTCCAACATTTCTTTGGTTAAAGTTCCAGAACAGGGATGCTGTGATTTTGGCCTGACCGCTGGGGAATTCCCAGAAAAACAATCCAAATTCTTAACTGAACTCTTTTTAATAGTCAAGGAACAATGAGGAGATCAACTGGGGGGCTTTAAAGCCAATTTCTAAGAAATAAAGAGCTCTCTGGAAAACACTTGGTGGAGACTTGACTCCAAGCTAAAATCACAATGACTAGGTCGTATTAGTGTATTTGTATTAATGCATATGTTTCTATTATAAGCTAGCCCTGTAATATTTACCTGATAAGGTTCAAATTCTTTAATAAGGAGTTGAACTTTTGATTTTTTAAATATAAGGGGAGAAAATGTACCTCTAGTTCATGCAGAAATCCTTTTGACTAGAAGATAACCTCTTAAAAATTAAAGAAGGGTCAATGAGTGGTATATATAGAGGTTTTTATTATTACCAATAATATTTACTGCCCATTTAGTACTAATTTATAAAAAATTCTCCAGTAAAAAAAAAAAGAACTCCATAGCCAAGAAAGCCTTCCTTACTTAGTGACCAATGCAAAGAAATAGAGGAAGACAGTAGAATGGAAAAGACTAGAGATCTCTTCAAAAAAATTAGAGATACCAAGGGAATATTTAATGTAGAGATAAAGAACAGAAATGGTATGGACCTAACAGAAGCAGAAGATATTGAGAAGAGGTGGCAAGAATACACCGAAGAACTATACAAAAAAGATCTTAATGACCCATATAACCACAATAGTGTGACCATTCACCTAGAGCCAGACATCCTGGAGTTCGAAGTTAAATGGGCCTTAGAAAACATCACTACAGACAAAGCTAGTGGAGGAGATGGAATCCCAGCTGAGTTATTTAAAATCCTGAAAGATGATGCTGTTAAAATGCTGCACTCAATATGCCATGAAATTTGGAAAACTCATCAGTGGCCACAGAAATGGAAAAGGTCAATTTTTATTCCAATATCAAAGAAAGGCAATGCCAAAGAATGTTCAAACTACCACATAATTGTACTGATCTCTCACACACTAGCAAAGTAATGCTCAAAATTCTCCAAGTGAGGCTTCAAAGGTACGTGAACCAAGAACTTCCATACTTTCAAGCTGGATTTAGAAAAGGCAGAGGAATCAGAGATCAAATTGCCAAAATCTGTTGAGTCATAGGAAAAGCAAGAGAATTCCAGAAAAACATTTGCTTGATTGACTACTCTAAAGCCTTTGACTGTGTGGATCTTAAGAAACCGTGGAGAATTCTTAAAGAGATGGGAATACCAAACCATCTGACCTGCCTCCTGAGAAATCTGTGTGCAGGTCAAGAAGCAACAGTTAGAACTGGACATGGAACAGCAGACTGGTTCCAAATTGGGGAGGGAGCACGTCAAGGCTGTATATTGTCACCTTGCTTATTTAACTTATATGCAGAGTACATCATGAGAAATGCTGGGCTGGATGAAGCACAAGTTAGAATCAAGATAGCCAGGAGAAGTAGCAATAACCTCAGATATACAGATGACACCATCCTATGGCAGAAAGTGAAGAGGAACTAAAGTGCCTCTTGATGAAAGCGAAAGAAGAGAGTGAAAAAGCTGACTCAAAACTCAACGTTCAAAAAACTAAGATCTTGGCATCCAGTCCCATCACTTTATGGCAAATAGATGGGGGAAACAATGGAAACAGTGACAAACTATTTTCTTGGGCTCCAAAATCACTGCAGATGGTGACTACAGCCATGAAATTAAAAGATGCTTGCTCCTTGGAAGAAAAGTTATAACTAACCTAGACAGCATATTAAAAAGCAGAGACATCACTTTGTCAACAAAGGTCCGTCTAGTCAAGGTTATGGTTTTTCCAGTGGTCATGTATGGATGTGAGAGTTGGACTATAAAGAAAGCTGAGTGCTGAAGAATTGATGCTTTTGAACTGTGGGATTGGAGAAGACTGTTGAAAGTCCCTAGGACAGCAAGGAGATGAAACCAGTCAATCCTAAAGGAAATCAGTCCTGAATATTCAGTGGAAGGACTGATGCTAAAGCTGAAGCTCAAATACTTTGGCCATCTGATGCAAAGAACTGACTCATTGGAAAAGACCCTGATGCTTGGAAAGATTGAAGGAAAGAAGAGAAGGAGACAACAGAGGATGAAATGATTGGATGGCATCACCAACTTGATGGACTTGAATTTGAGCAAGCTCTGGAAGTTGGTGATGGACAGGGGAGCCTGGTGTGCTGCAGTCCTTGGAGTCACTAAGAGTCGGACATGATTGATTGACTGAACTGAACTGTGCTATACAGTAGGACCTTGCTTATTCATTTTATATATAACAGCTTGCATCTGCTAACCCCAAACTCTCAATCCATCCTTCCCCCATATCTTTCCCTTTTGGCAACCATCAGTCCATTCTCTATGTCCTTGATTTTGTTTCTGTTTCATAGATAGATTCATTTGTATCATTTTTTAATATTTCACATAAAATGGGAAAAATTAGTTCTATCAGAGATTTTTAGGAAAATATTTAAGCAATAAGAAATTGGACCTTTTTACAAGTTACTAACATTTAGTAACGTAATGTTTTGAGATGATAAAGGACCTTTCATTTTCACATGATCATTCTTTTGAAATTTTTGCATAAGAAGCAATTATGAGGCACAAAGCAGCAACTATTATCTTCTGACAAATCTAAGCCTCTTTATAAGGATCGAGTTCATCACTCAGGAACCACCCACACTCCGTTTCTCCTGTTCATTTGTATTCCTGTTAAAGATTGTTCTTTCCCTGCCGACC